CATTATAATTTATATATAAACTTCGAATAGTTTGTGCCAAGTCAGTTTCTTACCATATGAGTTTAAATTTTGGGAGGCTAATCAGGACCTGATTTGAAACCGTTTGAGCACTGTGGAGCGAAAATTTCAAATTTTGCATCAGTCTAATGCCTAGACATATCAAATGTTCAACAACACTTACAGAATTTAAAAGACACTGCATTTCACAGGTTAAAACTGTCTTTTATCCAGTTATCCAGTGATTTTTTTATGAATTGACAAATTATGTATCTTGACGAAGTTATCTCTAATGGATTATTTTATATGGATAGCTGGTTTTTACATTTATGTGCCCGGAATCTTGAAAATTTTAAAACATTTGAATTTACTAAAAAAAATCTTAGGAACTTATCTCTTTGCAAATTTATCAATGATTTGCTTAGGGTCGATTCAAATATGACAGTTTCTTTTGACTTCCTTGATAAGCCATTTTGGTTTCCCATGGAAATGACTTCTGATTTCCCCGGAATTTTTTTTCTGGCCGAAAACTTTTTTTGATTTTTCTCGGAATATGTTTCCGACTTCTGGGACATGCTTCCGGTTTCCTCTATTTCTTTATTTCTTGTACCTTTTAGTCAAAAATCCTTCTAAAATTGATTCCCGAACATTAATCGAAAATTCTGCTAATTCAATGAAAAATTCCCGCGTCGCTTGTCAAATAGACCAATCTACATTAGAGAGGGTCTAGTATAAGAGTGGAGCGGACTGGTCTATTTTGAGCCAAGCGAACTGTCAAAGTCAGAGCCAATCGAGCAGCGCCTATCGTGATTGCGTTGGCAGTGTTGCTAGAAATCGCCTAGGCATAGGTTGCCAAGGTAGTTTGTTTTGAATCCGCTCCTCTCTTATACTAGACCCTCTCTTATCTACATTGATCGATTCTCTTCATCTACCTACTCTCTCTTTCGTTAGTAACTCGGCTCCAAAAATATGATCAGCTGTTCTTATCGTCCAATACGCTTAATTCTTTTAGCAGATTATGAGAAAGAGAGAGTCGATCAATGTAGGTTGGTCTATTTGAAAAGTGACGCGAGAATTCTAATTCAAAATGGTAGTTGATTTTCAAAATGGTGCTGGTTTTTGATACTTATGATCAATGTTGTTCGCAAATGCAATATTATTGTTATTGCAATAAAAGTTTAAAGTCCAAATATTATTGCCAAATTGTGAATAAAAGATACATACCCATAGCCCACTTAGTGAAAGGGTTTCGTTAGTTAGGCTGAGCTTTTTTTTTTTTTGGTATTAATTTATTTGTACAGGCTCAACCGAATAAACTTTACAGAGCCAAGTTATCATTTGCGTTATACATAATAGATGTCTTAAAGCTAGAGTTAAAGGAATTGAACCGATTACTCGCGGTCGTCTCGAGGTTAGTAGAGATATACAATTTTATGGGTGGGGAGAGGGAGAAGGAGGCTTGTGCTATGATTTATGATACAAATATTTCATTATTCCTAAAACATGAACTTATTCCTATTCAATTTGGTATCCGCAAGTTAGGCTGCGCTGTCAAGCTGAAAATTGATTGAGGGATACACCGATTGCTTATTATCATCACAATCCTCTAGTAAATATCCCAATTGTACATCGATGTGCCCTTCGAATAGGAATCAGGACTGTCAGAGGTGACGTTTGACTTCCATTTAGGTGGGCTGCAGCCCAACTAACGGGAGCCCCTACTTAAACGTAGCCCACTTAAAGATAGCCCAACGAGGGAAATTCGACTGTAATAGAACATTGACAAAAATGATCTTTCTGAATGCATTATTGTCGTATAATAATAACGGCAGTTTCAAATTCAGGATGGTAGATTATTTTAAAAATGATGGATTTAAGTTTATGTTCCTGACAGTTTCAATTCCAAAATGGCGGTATCAGTGCTGTCATGATAAATTTAGAGCTGGTTACTTACTAATTTTTTTTAAAATTTTAATTTAGGATTGTACACAAAATCTTGTTCCCACTAATTAAAACGGATAAAGCTTGTCGGATAAATTCCTTTTTTTATGTTGGCTTCTCAGTAGAACGGTGAACCAAAACATTTCGATGTTTTATGATCATCGTTTCGACCTATATAGACTTGGCCTTCTTCAGGAGATATAATGTTTTGCCGTCTATCTTTCAGCGCTAATAGTTTTATTATCTTAAACTAAACTAAAACTTCCTTGATGAAGATCTCAAGATCGAAACGTTTTTTTTATTAATTTATATGTACAGGCTCAATCGAATAAACTTTACAGAGCCAAATAATCATTTGTGTTATACATTATAAATGTCTTAACTATAAAGTTAAAGAAATTGAACCGAGTACTCGCGGTCGTCTCGAAGTTAGTGGAGATTTACAGTTTCATGGTAAACGGCGCCGGTGGTGTAGTGGTAAGCGTGATTACCTCTAACCCCAGCAGGCCTGGGTTCAATCCCAGTCGGCGCCGCCGGGATGTTCTGAGGCATAACATCTCTGATCACGTAAGTAAAGGCGTTGGTCCCCGGTTCATGTAAAGCCGTTGGTCCGCGGTTCATGAGTTGATGGGTCGATAGGTAGGGTCCAGGTGGGGGAGCTGCCTTCCTGACACGTCGGTAGCATTGGTGCTCAGCACGGAAAACAAGATCGACGGAAAAAACAAACCAAAGGAAAAAAAAAAAAAACAGTTTCATGGAGATCGAAACGTTGGAGATCGAAACGTTGATGATGGTAAAGTGTAATCAACAGTTTTTATGTCATTCCTTCACTCCTTCGCTCTCTTCAAGGAATTTATTTACCGTTCCAACAATTTTCCTGATATTCCTGCCCTGACAAACCCGAAATGTTCCTGAAATTTTAGGATTTTTTTTTTTTAGAATCCCTCTAAACATCGTGATAGCTCCTGAAATTAATAAATAAAACTGCTCTAGAGTTCTTTGATCTTCCTTTTGAAATACTCGAACAAAAGACTGAAACTGGTTAAAAATTTCAAAACTTCTCAGAAGTTCTCCCGACTTTCCTGAAGATCTCGGAACTTTGCTGAAGTTTTCAGAAATGCCCTGAGATTCTCGAAATCTCTGCATAATTCTTGCAATTAACTTTAACAGGGCTGGTAGAGAGTCACTTCTTAGTGACTTGGTCACTTTTTTCAAGCCAGTTACTAAAAAGTCTCTTTTTTCAAGGCCAAGTCACTAAAGTCACTTTTTCTTGCAATAAGTCACTATTTTAAATGTGTTATTTCAAGATTAATCATTTTTCTGGATAGGCCTACATTTTGTTCTATTTTTGAAAAATAAGAAGTTATTCTCTATCTACAGCGTGTCCAATCATTTGGCTTAATAAAGTTCCCTGAGCTTTTCAGGTTTTCCATAATTTCCAGGTTAATAATAAGAATGCTATTTATTAAATGCGTTAAATATATGTTTTTAACGCAAACGTTTTTAAAACATGAGTATCAGTTTTAAAGAAACAGCTTTACTATCAAATCCATTAAATGTTGAAGTTCTATTGATCTCAGAAAACCTAGATCTAGAGATCTTTGGGGAGTTCCAGGGGCCTCATAGCCTAGTCAGTAAAGGTACGGTATTACCAAGCCGGAGGCGGCGGGTTCGATTCCCGGTCCGGTCGAGGGAATCTTTCGGGTTGGAAATTTTCTCGACTTTCCTGGGCATAGAGTATCACTGTGCTTGCCACACAATATACAATTTCATGCATTGGTATTGGCATCGAAAGCTCTCAATTAATAACTGTGGAAGTGCATTTAGAACACTAAGTTGAGAGCACGCAATAAGCTAATATGGACTAAGCAATAAGCTTGAAATGCGAATAAGAAGAAGAAGAAGAAGAAATCTTAAGGGGAAGTCCCCGAAACTTTAGCCCAGGCTATTGAATTGGTTTAAAAATCTATGAGCGCGAGTTTAGAAAAATTCAGGATAGTTCCATGAGGTGCTGAAATAAAACCCATAAGAAGTTCCGAAAGATTCAGTACAGAGACTTTCAGAAAATTTATGAAAACTTAAATATTTCAGGAACTTTACAGAAATCGAGAGAATTCCAGGGAAGTTTAATGGTGTTTACGAGAATTCCATTTATTTTAAAGCAAACCCGAGATCTTCATTAGAGCTGAGAGTTTTAAGGAAGCTCCGAGAACATCAAGACCGATCAGAGAATTAAAGGGCTGTTCAAAAAATGTCAAGTTAATTGCAGAAATCGGTATTTCCGGAAACTTTGGTTTGCTCAGAGAAAATTTCTGGAACGCAATAAAAATTGTTTGAACATCGGGAAAATGTGAGAGTTTTTCAAGGGCGTTTTATCATGGAAATTTCAAGATCTAAAAACATTGAAAATTTAGCTACGTCGATTAGAGAACATCAACGAAGTTCCATTAATTAAAAAAGGGCGAATACTTTTAGCATGCATCGATATTTTCAAGAAATTCCAGAGAACTTCTAAGAAATTTAAATATTTTTAGATTGTTGCGAGTTACAAGGAGTTCCAAAGAATTATGGGATATTCCGAGAATTCTATGATTGATCCGAAAACTTTTGAAGCTTGAACATTTGATCAATTTAGAGAAATTAAAGTAAGCGTAGAAAACTTCTTTCAGGGAAAATTTGTGATTTGCGGAAAAGTTCCGTGAGCGTTTATAAACTTTATAAAACTTAAGGAAAATTGTAGAACTTAAAGGCAATTAAATCAATTCCAGTAAAATGGTTGATGCTTTTAAAAAGATACTAAGGCAGGGCATTCTAGAGGATTTAAAGGAAACAGAGAAATATTTTGGGCAGTTTTAAAAACATTAGGAAACTCTAGACTATTGAAGAAGTTATGAATTAGTTTCAATAATTTGAACTTCAGACAAATCTTGATAACTTCAGTGAAAATCCTAAAACTATATTAATTATTTCGTAGCGGAAGCCTAAAGAAGTTCCTGAAATTTCAGAATAACTTTGAAAACTTCACAGAAGTACAAAGATCTTCAGAAACATTTCGAGAACTTCATAAAAGTCTATGGAACTTAAGGAAAGATCCGAGAGCTTCAGGAACTTTTATGGACGTTTCGATAGCATCTCAAATAAGTTTAGTAAATCTCCAAAAACGAAGGGAATTTCAGGGGAGTTCAGTTCCATTAGTTTCACTAAATTAGCGGGAAATTTCAAGAAGTTTCCAGGTTTTCAGAGAACTTTGGAGATGTTAAAAAAATTATTGAGGTTTTCACATAAGTCCAGAAGTTCACGCAAGATTAAACATTTTTAGAACAGTTCAATACAACAAGCTTCTTAAGATCTGCAAATACTTTAGAGAAGTTTCGAGAATTGATCTCGCTAGTAAAGCTCTAAACAAAAAAAAAATCAAGGAAGAACAGATCTCCTTAGAGCAGAGATATTCCAGAGCAGGGAAATTACATAAATTTTAAATAGAGTTTCGAGAAATAGTGAATTGTTAACACTTTAGAAAAGATTCATGATCGCTTGGAAAATTGTGGTAACTTTAGGAAGTCCGAAATAGTTTAGAGAAGTTAAAACAATGTTGAGAAGTATTGCGAGCATCAGGTTAGATTATCAAACTACAAAAGAACTTCAAGGCAGTTCAACTAACTTTAGGAATATTTTGGGAACTTTCAAAAAGTTATAAAGGCCTTAGAATAGTCCATTCCATATTCAACGGAGATTTCTCATGAACATTCGCTTGGAGTTTACTATCTTAGGCTTAGGCTTCACATGAAGTCTAAAATTCCTCAGAAGTACCATGAAATCAGATTGCAGTTGATGTTTTTCTCGTGGATTTTGTTTCTTCCCAAAACTCCCGTGGAAGCTGATGAGGCTTAAAACTGAACAAGGAATTTGACTCTCGATTCTTGAAAATTTCTTGAAGTACTATAACTTTCCAGTTCAGAATTTATAAAATTTGTGGGATGCATTTCTAGAATTAAAAAAAAAATCATTTGAAGCCTCTGAGTTTTAAAAATGTATTTGTTACTAAAGATTAATCCATTCTGGATCTATAAAGTTCAATGTGTGAATGAAAATAACTAGGACTATTAAATGGTTTTATTTTAAAATGCATTCTTTTTAAGAACATTATGAAATTTCATGAGTAATGATAAAATTCCCTGATACTTCCAGGTATTTTCAGGAAAAATAAAATTCCCTGCGAATTTACGGTTATTCAGGTTTTTTTCACGTAGTAGAAGCTTGCTGGTTTAGTCATGAACTTTCTATTGAATCGTTTGCTTTAACGTTAGGTTCCTATCGTAGGTCACTTTTTAGTCACTTACCTACAACCATAAGTCACTATTTGGTCACTTATTTCTTCAACATGGTCACTAAAATCACTATTTTTGACAGAATTGATCGCTACCAGCCCTGCTTTAAAGTTAATTAAACTGCCCTGAGATTCTCTGGTCTTCCATGATGGTTCTTGAAGCTACCCTGAAGTTCTCACAATTCTCCTGAAGCTAGTGGTACTGTACAGAAATAAATGAAAATATCCTTTAAATCTTTAAACTTCCCTGAAATTTCTGAATTTCTGTAAAGTTTCCATGATATGTCTGAAGTTTCCTACTTTTCTCAGGAGTTCTCAAGACTGTCCTTGAATTTCCGGAATTTCATCTTTAAATATTTCAATAGTCTGGAATTTCCTGAAACTATTGGTACTGTCCTTTAAGTCTCTGTGCTTCCCTGGATATCTTAGACCTAGGTTCCCTGAGGTTCTTGAAATTTCTATTTAACATTTTTTTTTGTCAAATTCTCTGGGCTTCTCTGAAGTTTTCTCCACTTTCCTGAAGTTCTCTGGATGTCCCTGAAAGTTTTGATTTGTCTAAAAATATTGGAAAAAGATATCAGAAATCTAAAAAAAAATCACATTTTTTTTAAAGAAAATTCACCTGCGAAAACATTTTTTGTAAAAAAAAGTTTGACTCGAAAAAAACACAACACATCGACCTTTCGGTTTTGCTGAGGGTCCAGTTTTGTTCATGAAGAGATAGAAAGCATATTTTACACGTAAATTTCTTGGATTTTTGATATGTGTTTCCATTATTATTGTTATTACAAGGTTCAAAATGGTCGAATTTTTGCAAAAATGTGGATGATTGTCCATAGCAAACGATTATGCAAAGTTTTATGCAAATCGGAGAAAGTCGAGTTTTAAATTATTATTTTGTTGCTATTTGGCCTGGAACTGCTCAACTTCTGTAAACTTCCTTAATGTTTTTCTGAAGTGAAAACTACAAGGGACAGCCCTATGGGGTTGTACGTAATGCAATGGTGAAGTAGGACTACGTGGTCTTATATAATAAATCTTATTTGTTAACTGCAGTAGGAGCTAGTGTTTTCTGTGGGATTAGGAATTTGAGCGGAATTCTCTCTGTTTGTACTCTTTAGTATGACGCACTTGACACAGATAGCACACAGCGACTCACGAAGAGCTACTGATTCCGATCAATAGCGGTGCGGCTTTTTCCTCCTTCTATGGATGCTCATGTGGGCTGCAGTTCGTCTTTCGTTGTGTACTGGAGAACACCACCGCTCACCACGCGGTGATTGAATAATGGAATAATGGTTGGAATTCAACTTTGAAATCTGTGTTAGGGAAATCCATTTTCGCAAGCAATCGGTGATAATTTTAATAATCATAGCAACAGTTGCACAACCGTTAAATTTTCAATGGTGACATTTTGAAAAATCATAAAATCTTAATTTAACAGATTTGTAGAAAATATTCCTATCAATTGACGTATTAAGAATAAAAATCCATCATCTCTGGATCAAAATCAGATCACTTTCATCTAGATAGAGCTGGAATTAGGCGCAACAGCTTTTTTGAACAATGACTTCTCTCGATGATTTTTAGGAATTCAAGGTACGCCCACGCAAACTAACATTACCTGATGGTGATTGAATAAACACCGTTTGGTGAGACCAGATGGAATTCAACTTTGAAATCTGTGTTAGGGAAATCGCTTTTCGCAGGCAAACGGTGATAATTTTAATTATCAAAGCAACAGTTTGTGCAACTTGCAATTTTCATTAGTGACATTTTGAAAACTGATAAAGTCTTAAATTTAACAGATGGGTAGAATTATTACTAATTTGTGATAAAATTATTGAAATTGGTCCTGGGGCAGCTGAGTTATTAACGTTCAAAATATTTCATAATTTGTTACATGTTCCTTTTTCGGTTTTCACAAAAGTGTTCCCCCATATAGAACTCACAGACGTAGTCCTACGTCAAAAGAACTGTCCTGAAGCTCTCTTTGATCTTAATTGGACTTCCCTACAATCTGCTGGATTGGCCTGAACCTATCGGAACTTACCCTAAAAGATCATAGCTTTTGAAGTCCTTGGAACTTCCCTGAAGTTTTCGGTAATTCCTTTAATTTTTTTGATTTTTCAAGAAATTATCAGATCATCTTGAAGATTTCTGCCTTTTTTCTGATGGTAATCCCAAGTAACATTGCTAGTTTTATGAAGGATTTGAAGAATTCTTCAAGTCTAAATGATGTTCTACAGAAGCATGATAAATGAATGTTCACTCGGATGTCGACAGAAGCAGATCACTCTCAATGCGTGTCACGCGATCGTCTGTTTACTCGGCAGCAACCATTGTGTGGTCCTCCTCATTGTTCTTCATCAGCAGTTCTATCAGTCGATGCGTCGTCGACTTTGCAAAGCAACCGTTTCGTGATGAATGTGTGAGTGCTGACCACGTTTTGCGTTCATTGCTACAATGGAAGCGCTCTGACCCTCGTTGGCGAATCTGCCATAGAAGTAAACCACTGGAAGCGGCTCCCGTTCTGGAAGAGGAGGCTTATTGGATAGCGGAAGATAAAATGTTTATTGTGTTGTATCTTTTGACTATAGTTTTAAGATGTATTGTATAGTGAACAAGAATCCTCGGCTCTGTTAAGTTAATTCGGTTGAGCCTATCCATCCACAATTTTTACTCGGAAGTGGAACTAGCATAAAGTTTTCAAAATTGTTGTCCATAAGTTCTCCAAAATTTAATAATGTTTTCGTAACTTTCCTTACTTTCATGGGACTCCCAACTTCTTGGATGTTTTCTTTAGGCTTTATTCTTGAAACAACTGTTAAGTCCCGACAATGTTTTCTAAAGTTTTTCGAAGAAAAATAAATCCAGAAATTTTCGGAAACTTTCTTAAAGTTACTACAATTTTCCGAATGTCTACTAACAAGTAGACAGACTAAAGTTCCTACAATTTTCCGGATGTCTCAGACCTTTCCCGAAGTGAACTTTGAACTTTTGACTTCCCTGAATGATGAATATTCCGAAAATATCGTGGAACCCCCCAACAGCAGCCCTGAAGTTTTCGGAATTACGCTCAAGAGTTCTGAACTTCCCTGGATTTCCCATAACCTCTTTTAAGCGCCTGTAGTTTTGTTGCAATTAGTAAAGCTGTCCTGAAGTTCTCTGATGGCTACCACTTAAAAGTCATATGAAAACCGACCAACTAAGTTTTTGAAGCATTGCTGGGTATATCAACTACACATTTTTATTAATAAGGGGTTTTTTTTCAATCGTTAGTTCTTCACTACGTATTTGAATGCTATAATAATCCATAAATCTTTTTTCTGTGTACAATTTGAAACCGAACAGATTGATCCAGCGGAATTCTAAGCAAAACAACTACAAAGCATGATAAGAAATGGCGTTTATTAAAATTCCTACCCCCCCCCCCTCCCCGTTTTTCTTGCGTTCAGCCGGCGATTGCGATTTCTACGTGAGCAATCCGGATCGGAGTGAGCGCAGTTCCAATTTATTTTCGATTTCCTCCCATCATGCTAAATTGCTTGCTGTGTACAACGGCGTACCCGTTGGTATTCCATTCGACTCGGGTCATGTCGTTTTGATCTCACCAGCAGCAGCCCTGGAAGGAGCCTGAAAACAAAATCGCAAAAGAAGACCGGAAAAGGATTTAATCTATACCAGAAGGAGCCTCGCCCGGATCGCCACGCTTGAACTTGAAGGATTTTCTCTGAGCTAGCTTCTTCTCGTCCTGCTTGCCTGGTGGATTCACCCCCGGGGGACCAAACTTTGCGCTGTCGATTTTATAAACTATAAATTTCTGGATCGATACCGTCGTCTTCGTCGTCGTCGTCGTCGCCGTCGCCGTCGTTTTATTCGCATTCTTTCTCTGACCGCCGCTTATGGTCCACAAGGGCTGATGGTG